GTGCATTTTACAAGTCAAACTTTTTAAAAACTTTACTATAAAGAGTGAAAAAAAATAAGAAGGAAATATTACAACAAAAAAATAGAGTTGCATATTTTCATAAAATTATTATTATTTTCTTTTTTTTGTTTAGTTCGCTGAGTATCAATGTTAACTATAGTCTACCTAACAGCTTTTAGCTACCTCTGAGCTTATTTTGTTTTGTTGCCTTGAAATAATCATTTTTACGCAAAAAAAAAATCTTTTGTTTTAATTTTTTTTTTTGTCAAAAGTTTTTTGTGTACTTTTAAAAGTTAAGTTGATATTTACACTCAAAAAATGTCGCAGAGTCAATGACAATAAGTTTCTTTTTGTTTAAAATATTCAACATAATATAAGAATACTTCAGATATGATTAAAAAATGCATCAAAAGTATACTAGAATATAAAATATTTTTTTTGAAAAGATTTTTAATAGTATTTACAAATCTTTAATTCATTAATTTATAATATAATTATTATTTCAAAATGAAAATATATTTACATTATTCATAAATGTGAGCTTACAGTGGCGGCTTAAGTTAAATATTTCTAAAAATTTTCATCTTGAAAATTACTTCTAAACAATTCCTAAACTGAAATTGTTTAGAAGATATTGCATTTATAATATATATAATAACAAGTGTTAATAACTGTTTTATGTGTGTAGAATAAATACTATATATATTTGAAAATAATCAATTATTCTTCTTACTAACGAGCATTAACATTTGAAGTCCAAATTTTCACGAACAGGTAAAATAAACAAATGCAAAGAACATTCTAACACAAATAAAAAAACTGTTCTTCATTTTAATCCGCTACTTATGATTTACTGTCCTCAAGCCAAGGACAAGTATTTCAGATAAAACGCCACTCCGCACTGAATTCGTCATTTCTTTAGCATATTTAGATACCGAAGTTCAAAATTCTAAACTGAATGAGAATTGTAAAAGTTGAATATGTTAAAAATAACTTTAAGAACAAAAGCACACCATTTTTTCGTTGAAATTTGCTACTTCCTATTTTCCTACTTCCTGGAAAAACGTTAGGTTAAACATAATGATTACAATCACTTTTTGTACAACATCTTATTTAACATAAATATTCTATTAATATCAGCAATCAATTTTATATGCTAACACTCGTATTTAAAAATATATATAAATTCGAAACTCTGAATTAAATGAGAATTGTAAAAGTTAAACATGTTAAAAATCATTTTGCAAAAAAAATATGATATGGAAAACGATCTTTTAACATTTGGATGCCTTTTATATAATAAAATTTAACAAGTTTTCCGAAATACTATATATATATATATATATATATATATATACAGAAACTTCTATTTTTTAAATAGAGAAAAAATAGTTATAGAAAGTGTATAAGATGCTGGCTATCAGCGGAGCGAAACACTGCGACTATGGCTGATATTTTGTGCTTCTAATCGATCTTAACTGTGAAGATATTGCGTCTTGAAGAAAGCCAGAATGTAAACTGTTGATTGTAGGATCGCCCGGCCCAATAATCTACTTCTGGTTCAAACAGTGGCAATTATTTTGCTTTAATAAATGTAATTTTTGTTAGAAATGTTAAATGTTATTTGTTTAAAGTTTTTCTTTGTATTATTTTTAATTTATTATAAGTTTATTATTTATTTATAGCTTTATTTTTTATTTTTTATTTATTATATTATTATTTGCTTATATATTTATTACATAAATTAATATTTTTTTTTGGTTTTTTATTTATTTTATTTTATTTATTACTCTTTTTCTTATTACGTGTCAAAAATTCCAATAAAATAATTTGATTGAAATATTAATAAAGTAAATGTGAAAGAAAAATCAAATTTTTTCGGTAGCTCATTTCTTTTGACATTTACTTTAACCCAATTAAAGTTCATTGTCCACTATATCCGTATTTATGACTATTTTTATTTAATTTTATTGATCGACCGACCATTAAAGTAATTATGTTCACAACATTTAACTTTAGTTTGTTTGCCTTTGGCTTGGCTATTTTTACAGTGGCGGCGAATATGTTGTGGCAAGCGGTTGCTACTTCCTTACTTGTTGTTGCTAACCAAATGTGAAAGGAAAAAAATGTCTACAAGGACAATTAATTGGATTGCTAACAGTAAAAGATTTTTGACTAAAAAAGTCTTATTTATATTAGTTTATATTCTTTTTTTATGAGTAGTTTTAACGCACAAGGTTAAGTGAAATGTCGCACAAAAATCGGAAATACTCCACGCGTAGAAAGGTACATGGCAATAAAATATCTTTAATGCTTAAAAATTATAATGATTAAAATGTTTAATATAATTAATTTTGTAGACTTTAATACAAATAAAGAGAATTGCGTGCAAATTACAGAAAAACTCATTAGTGACTCTAAGTGGTTAACTCAACTATTTTACGAGTATAAAGAAATTTGTTTAGTGTTTAGTTGATTTTGATATAGAAAATACAGAAAAAAAATTACTGTGTCAACTTAGAAAATTAAAACTAACCATACATTTATTATGCAGAGCTTTAAACTTTAAATGATATATAGTATGTTAACAACAGTCCGATAATATGTAATATACTATGTAGACAACATTTGTAATCTAATTAATGTGTCATGAACACACAGCGATACTCGTATAAATAAAATTATAAGCCATATTCGGCTAGGGATTAACTTTCTGCAGAAAATGTCTGCCAAGGACCCTGTGTTTACGTACATTCAAAAGCATGTTTTAGTGTCATTAATTTATTTTTTTAAGCTTAAGAGTTAAAAAATTATATTTGAAAATAGTAAAATATTATCTATTATATTTTACGTATAAAATTTTGACTTTTGATTTAAAATCGCAATTTCGACTGTATTTTGAGTAATTAAAGAAGAACAGATAGTTTATAATTTATAATATAACATTACAAATTATAACAATTAAATAATAAAAATGTAATAAATAACTTATAATTTATAACAATTAAATTATAACTACTATCTCTTATAAAAGATTAATAGATTATATATAAGATCATTTACATTAATGATTAATATTTATAATTTAACTATTAGAAATTTGTCAAAGAAATTATTAAATTATTAATTTACTCAAAATACATCGAACCTGTATGCTTGAACCATACGTACACTAGACGTTTAAACGTCTATTTTTATAAAAAAAAAATAAATCATAATTTTAATGTGTACGAAAATATAATACTATATGTATATATAATAATAAATAATTATGGTTATTACTTTATAGTTTTTAGTTAATTTTAAGTATAAACTTTGTTTATGAACTTACCATTTGTGTTTAATTGTGGGTGGGCATTGTGGATCCTTGAGGTCTGAGTGATTTTATGACAAAACTATCGGACACTTGCACATACCGCGGTTTGTTTGTAAAGTAAAATTTGGAATAATTATACGACAACTCAATTAAGTTCATTAGACACATTAATTAGACATATATATTTAAGAAAAATGTATGGAAATTTCTACCTTAAATCACATTCTCACGTTCATTTAAATCGCACACATATAATAAATTATTAAATAATTACAATTACTATTTGTTTTAGTATTTTTTTAATAGTTTTTAATTTTTAGAATAAAAGAAATAAAAATATTTTATTAATTATATTGTAAAATATTTTAAACCATAATCAATAAACAAAAATTATAAATCACAACAACAATACCGAAACATTTCATATCCAAAGTTTATACGCACAAAACGCAACGGTAAAAGAATAATTAGAAAGTCTCATCTTGAGAACACTCTCCGTACGACTAAACATTAAAATTCCAACAAATTTCACACCTCCCACCAAAATAATAAAATATTTAACTGTATTGAGAGAAAAAAAAAGAAAAAAGAAAAAAGAAGAAAAAAAAGTTTGCATCAAAACTGGTCGTGCCACATTCATTTGCAGTTGATGATCAAAATAACAACAAGAATAGTAGTCGAGACTCGATTGCAACGTCACGCTCTTCATTTTTTGCATCCCTATCATTTGTTTTCGTTTATAGAGAGTAATCGAATATCGAATAACACAAGTATGGCAGAAAAAAAAATATGATATAAACATTATTAGTGTAAATTAATATTAAACTATTGATCACTGTTTTCGTTTTTTTTTGTTGTTTATATATGTTGATCCTTTTTTTGAGTCAGTGCAACTGGGCACTTTTACTCTTTGATAGCTGGGGGTACTACAGGGTCCCATCCATCCCATTGACTAATTTATGTATTCTTTATAAGCTTCATGATTAGTCAGTGATTGATCTAAGATCTGCGTACCTCCCCGTGCGGAGAATGATTACTCTAAGAATAGATAGTACTAAGTAGAATAGCCTGTCAGTTTTCGCATATGTTACGTATAAGAGCTTAATGAAAATTTCTTTCAAAGATTTAATATCATTTAACCTCACTTTTTTATAAAGAATATAATATAATCAATTTTTTCCCCAGAATCCTTTTCAGTACAATATCTAAAATAACAACAACAGTAACAATTACTTTCACTATACATGATAAGTTGAAATTTCAATGAATTCTTCCATTTCAAAAAATTTCAACAAATTAATAATACCTTATTACTCCACATCCTGGCTGTAAAGTCATTAGTGAAGCATATTACAATAATTTTACCAGGAAATGTGGTTCAATTTACTGTACATGACAATATTGACGTTGGAAGTAAACACTAATTTCGTTCAATACATATTAATAATTCTAATTGCTGTCGGTTTTTGTTAGTGAATTTTTGTATTTTTGTATGTATTGATGTCCTTGTCGTATCACATATGCCATATCATACATTCACAGCAATTTTTCAACGAAATCTGATTTGATTATTTATTCATGCAACATTTGTCCATAACCTTGAAGGCTACGTTGAAAAGACGTAATTCCATTTTAATGCTCCTGGCCGTTTGAATACGTGTCCATTCAGTCTGAACTTTTCAGCTAGCAGCCTTGCATGCGAATCCTGCACTGAGTTAACTGCTGACATTGGTATTTCAACCAAATTCACTGTTTGAATATTTAGTTCGTCCTGTAAGGTTCTACGTGGTGGTTCACTTTACTCAGACTTACTTCAATCAATATTCAATACTGTGGATATTATTTGCGTGCATTATGAGTGAAGACGATAATGTAAGTAGGAACTTTTTTTCAATATATGGGAGCTTTTTATGTTTCATTGTTAAGTTGTAAAGTTAGTGAAAATAAGTAAAAATAATAAAAGGATATTATTTATTATATATAAACAATATATAATGAAATGAGCACAATAAAATTACTATTTAAATTTTGTTAAAACTTATAATAATATTTATCGTATATATAATTACGATATAGAACAGTATATAGTAAAAATGATTAAGTATTTGTCAAGAATCTAACTAAACGTCATATATACCACAGATAGCTTTATTTAATTTTTGTATTAAATTTTATTTAAACATCAGTTCCGAAGGCAGTAACTATTTTACTTAATAGAAACTATCAACTTTGGAGAACCATAAATTCAGTTAATTAAAAATAAATAAATATTTTTGTTGTTACAATGTACTACTCTTCGAAACCTCTCTAACTCATTTTTATAGTATAACGCATAATCTTAAATTGCTTATAGAAGAATTTATGTAACTAAGAAATATCTAAATGTGTTATTTTTTTAGGTCAATATTTATACTAAGCTGAAATTTATTAATTTATTAAAGATAACATATAATTATTATACACACATATAATTATTCATATACATATACATATAGTTATTTCATGTATTTTTTCAAAATTATATTATATTATATTTATATTGTATTATAATTATATTTATATTTATATTATATTATACTACTCTTTTTAGTAATCTGTTATAGTTAGAAAGCACTTATTTCTTAATAAATCACCTAACAGTCACTCCAATAAAATTTAACCCATTGAATTAAGTGAGGTCCGTGATATAAGGTTTACTTAATTTAGTTTAAATTATTAACAATGTATAGTTTATAATAAAAATTGTAATATAGTGTATTTAGTGAAAAGGATTTTAAAACTTATTGTTTGTCTCCATTGTAACATACAATAAATAAATGTATTAAAAAAAAAATATTATATTATAATTATATTTATAATAATATTGTATTATAATTATATTTATAATAATATTGTATAATAATTATATTTATAATAATATTGTATTATAATTATATTATATTATAATTATATTGTATTATGATTATAATATTATTTTATAATTATATTTATAATTATATTGTATTATAAATACATTTATATTTATAATTATATCATTTTAATTTAATTTTTATTAAAATAAAAATTTATAATATGTATTTATTTATTTTACATATATTGTTCAAAAATGTATTATATCGAAAAAAAGACAAAAGCTAGCAACTTCGTTATAGTCGATATAAAGAAATTTATTAAAAAAATTTATCGATCATTTAAAAATATGTAATTCGATTTTTATAATTTAGTTGGATCTCTATTCATTGGAAGCAAATCTTATCAATAACTCCCAAAGGAAGTTGGGCGATGGCGCAGATAAGGATGCCATAACAAAGCTACGATTGTTATGTTTTAGTAGGGGAGCAACAGGAATACTGGGACTGGGAAGGTAATAGAAAATCAATGAAAGCGTTTAACTATGTATATAATTAATTAAATTTAAATTAATATATTATTCATATAAAATTATATATTACATAGTATTATATTTATTTATATAGTAACAAATATTAATGAATTTAATACTTAGTATCAATTATTATTTTTATTTAAATTTAATTAAAAATAGCTAAAGACTATAACTGTAGAGTAATTGAATTACATAATTACAGTTTTATTATAATTGCTAACCCAAATTTGGTAGGGCACCGTTTAAATCCGTACTTGCAGTCTCAAAAAATTATTTAAAAATAAATAAATACAAGAAAAATTTCCAAGTGATCACTGATGGGTCAAAAATTTAAGATGGGTATTTGCTATATTCGAAACAGGTGCATGGTTAGCCAAAAATTAAATTAATTAATAAAATAAAATAAATAAAATTTTGTTGTTACAATTCACTACTGCTTATATATTCTATTAAAGATATTCTATTAAAGCAATAGTTCCTATTAAGAAATATGGTTTCTTCCATCGTTATTGACTTTTAATATCAAATTTAATTAAAAATATTTTTATTATAATTATTAGAGCATTCCGTAATATGGATGATGATGGCAGCAAAGCATTAAACGAAGAAGAATTTACTAAAGGTATACATGACTATGGTTTAGAAGCTACTGATGATGAAATAAAGGATATGTTTCAAACGTAAGTCATTATTTTTATAAGTCTAATAACAGATATAATAATATATAGATAATATATTGTTATGTTATAATAATAAGTATGATTATGTAGAAATAATATTTAGTTCTTAGTTAGCAATCATTAGTTCTTGAAAGCTGAGATAGAAAATAACAATCACATTAAAAATTGTATCTCATATTAAAAAGCAAAAGTCTAGCCAAGTTATCGTGAATATTAGACATGTGACTGTCTAAATATCATGGAACTACTATGTACTACCAACTTTCTACCACTCTTTGATAGTAATCAATAATCGGAGTTGCAATATATTGTATAAGCCCTAAATTTTGATTGTTATTAATCCCTCATAGTATTTGTATTATGTGCTTATTAATTGAATAAGAAGACTAATTCCTTGATTCATTGATAAAAGGCATGTTAAGGGAAGTGGTTTCCTGTTTTAAATAATAACAGAGTTACTAAGTATCTCGTATTGGTATAATCTTATCTTACAACTCTTAAATATTTTTTATTATATCATAATGGGTGTCACAATGGTCAATAGATGTCTCTGACTAATATTAATATATAATATGTATATATAAAGAAAGGTTAAGTTGTAAGGGCATGTGCTGATATTACTGTCTGCATGTATAGTCAGAGACATCTATTCATCATTGTGATACCCATTATGATATATAATAGAAATAATAATATATAATATTTATTTAATTTAATAGAAATATTATTTCTTAAAATATCATACCGAAAAACGTATTTATTTTTATGCTTTCTTTACAGTTTCGATGAAGATGGAAGTGGGTCTATAAGCATGACTGAATTTCTACTAAAACTAAGAGTAATTGCTATTAAATATTCCAATCAATAAATAATAAAAAATACAATAATTTTATAAATAAAAATTTTATTCATAATTTTAAATAATTATTTAATAATTATTTATTTAAGCTATTGAAATACTGTTAAACTGATTTCTAAAGAACCACTGTTTTAATTAATGATTATTAAAGTCAATTAAATTTATAATTTTAGCCTCCAATGTCTCAGTGTCGTCTTGATATAATCGATGAAGCATTCAATAAAATGGATAAAACCGCTGATGGTGTCATAACTATTGAGGACTTGAAAAATGTTTACTCGGTTAGGGATAATCCAAAATATAAAAGTGGTGAAATGAGTGAAGACGATATATTAACTGAGTTTCTTCAAAATTTCGAAGGTGGACGAGGTGATAATGATGGCAAGGTATGTGAATTGTATGATTAGCTTGAACAAGCGCTATCAAAAATGAGATCTTAATGGTAAAATACATAGATAAAAATATTTTGCATGCATTTTAAATTTATCTAAGTTATTAATTTTCATTTTTAAATTGGAACCATAATAGACATCATTAAAAAAAAAATTAAATAATAAGTTTTAACATATGTCTTTTAAAATAGAATTAATAAATCAATTTAAAAATTTTAAATTCTATTTTAAATGATTTTTTTTTGACAGTGTACTTATAAATAATTTTCTACTATACTTTGCAGATAACCAAGGAGGAATTTGTGAATTACTATGCAACCATAAGTGCATCCATAGACAATGATCTGTACTTTGACTTAATGATGAGACGTGCCTTTGCTTTGTAATTTTAATTACAAAAGAAAAAAAAAAGTTATGCATTTTTATTAAACAAAAAAATATAAAAACAAAAAGAAATGCATAATAATAATTAAAAAATAAAATCTTGTCAAATTTTTAATTGTTACAAAAAATTGAAATAGAAATCTTGTCAAATTTATATATGCATTTCTCTATTTGTGAATAAATATTTAAAATAATTTTTGTTGAAATTTTATTTCTTATTACATTTCTTGAAATATAAATTTGCATATTTAACGAAGTCGAAAAGACAACATCGTTCTTAAGAGTTCACTTATGTGCTGTTATGCAAAACTTTATGTCTTAAAACAATTTTTTTGTAAGTGTATTTCCTTTATTTCCATTTCTATTTTAGTTTTGCCACATGTTTTTAGCAACTTGCCTGCATGATTGCTAACTTAATTCCATCTTCTTCTTCTCTAGCATTTCAATCAAATTGTATACAATTTGCAAAAACTTCTGTCTATGATGACGTTGCATATGCTAATTATGATGTGTATGATTAGAAGCATACACAGATACACTAACTAATACCAGCACACATGCTATAGTGCTAATATACACAATACGCATAATCACACAGATACTCAAACACAGATATACACTAACTAACATATTTCGACACGTACATGGAAATATTTGCACAGATTCTAATTTTGTAAAATGCAAAACGACACTCAATTGTAACTAGGAAAGCTACGAGTATAACAATGACACTACTATGAACACCAACCATCATCATTAGATACTAACTTCAATTACTACAACAATAACAGCAACAAAACTCAAAATAATAACAACAACAATTTTACTTACTGTTGCAACAACAACAAAAACAACAACAACAACATCAGACGCAACAAAAATTGTTAAAATGCAAAATGACAGTAACAAGTTTTGTCTTAACTTTTGTTTATGTTTGCTCTCATCTACACAATGGCTTCGATGCACTTAAGCCACTTTTGTGATAGAACCAACCAAGTTGCCATCAACAATATATATTCATCTCAAATTACACAAAATTTTGTGTACACTTTTAGTGTACTTTTGACAGCATTTCACAAAAAAAATGCTTAAAGTGAGTTTCTCTCCCCCTCTCTCTCTTTCTCTTTCTCTCCACCTCTCTCTTTTATCCTCAACTCGCAATGGAGCATAAAGCCTCTGTGCGTTTACACTATCGCAATTAACTCCATAATTGTGCAACTATAATTAACATTTTTTTACAAAAACCATACAAAAATGTACTATTGAGGTTCAGTAATTCTAAGAAAATATATAATATTATAAGGCATATGTATATAACACCACAATTAATTTGTATTCAAAAAAATAAAATAAATATAAGTGTAAATACAGTTTTGTAGTAAGTTTACACCAACTCAATTAACGTATTTACACAATAAACTAGTTAATTGTGCACCAATTACCTGCACTTACTTTACAAATATCTTAAAACTCACAAAAGATTGGAGAAAATTTCCTGGAGGGCAATGGGTAAAACTTCTTTCTAGTAATTTAAGAGAGAGTGTTGATTTAAGGAAGTTTAGTGCTTAGAAGTCTAGGATTAGCTAGTTCAGTTTTCATAAATATCTACGAGATAATTAAATCAAATTAACCCAGTTAACTTCAATTTACAAAATTCTTTGATGAATTATTCCGTCTTGTGGCAAACAACATATTTAGAGTTAATTGAAATAAATAGATATCATAGTGCGGAAACCCATTGAAAACCAAATTTCAAACAAGACGAAATAGCCATTTTTCGGGTGTAATTTTATATTATAATTTTATTTATTTTTTTTTTGTTTGTGGAGATTAAATGCTTAATATAATGTCGTCGGAATTGTGTGTCGGACTACCTAACATAATAATATGTAGTATACATACTAAAACACTCTTTTCTTCAAAGAGACCAACTCCCTCACGGAACTGCTTTCGCATTGCTTCAGGGAGCATATCTTTTATGTCGGTGTTTTCCGCCATGATCTTTTGATATATGATCTTTCTGCAGATCTCCACGTTGTCATAGCATTTTTCAGGGTTTCCCTTACTTATTAGCCCAGTTTCTGTTTTCTAGGTCTAATCACTTCGTTTAAATAATTTTAATCGCATATGACTATAGCATTCGCCAGTTTTATGGATTTGCTTTTATCTTCTCAATTCTATTTTCGGAATTTATTGGTCCAATCCGAAACTTTATTATATATTTGCTGGATTCGCCAAATTTTTCAGGCGTGAGAATAAGAAAGTATCTTAACATACAAGATAAATGGCATCTTGTCTTAACTTTAGCAGCTGATATTGCATTTTATTTAAAATTGAAAACAATTTAACATAAGTTCATAATAAATTTAATAAAAAAATTTGTTGAATAGTAGTGAATTACAACAACAAAAATTTATTTATTATTTTTAATGAATTAAATTTTCGTCTGACCATAACAATAACTCTAAGACCACTGATGATAAAGATTTGTCAACACTCTTAACAGCTGTATGGTCAGTTAAAAATCCAATTGATTAATATAATAAAAATTATTATTGTTGTTGTAATTCACTACTATAAGAACCCGATAAAATCTTTACATTAAAATATTTACATAAATTCAAAAAAATCTATTACTATATAATCTGTATAGACTTGAAAAATTCTATTTATATATATAGATTTATATATTATCTATGTAATCTATATATAGAAGAATCAATATCTATATAATTTGTACAGATATAGCAAAATCAATATCTATATAATCTATATATATATAGAAAAATCTGTTACTGTAATCAATTACTATAATCTGTAGAGATATAGAAAAATCAATATATATATATAACCTACATATAGATGGAGAAAAATCCATATCGGTACTATCTATGTATAGATATACAAAATCCACATCTATATAATCTATATAAATACACATGTCTATATAAAGATATAGTGCTGCAAAATAGCAATCAACTCTTAACACAAAAAATTGAAATGGGGTAATAGGTTGAATTTTTACGTAGCTCACAAATAAAATAGCACTCAATATATTGAACAATTTTTAAATATCAAATAATATAAGTAGAAATCACTATATAGTAACCACATACTATATAATTCAATAAAAAATCATGATACGTACTAACTAAGCTTCACTAACTGTAATTGAAAATTTTATTGCCCTAAACACGGCACATAACCCAAAATTTGTGTAATATTTGTGTCTTAACACAATACAAATCCTATTAAGTTGGCAACACTGACAGATCCGAATCCACAAGTACACGTACGACTGCAACTCGTCTCACATATGCCACAATATAACAATCAAGTTAACTGCGACTTATGCATTTGCCACTCGAGCAGCTTCTGTGTTGCGTTCACTGTTGGTTGTGCGTGTATTTGCCCCAAAATATGCTTTTAATTTTGTGGATGCAATACAAATGCCAGTGAGCATTTAACATATCGACACACGCACACACACACACATTAAAAACTGCTAAACTCATGCAAATGAAATGTGTAAACGTACTCTGATTACAATTTATCCAAAAATTTTAAATGCCAATAATAAAATGGAACTTTTCCATTTCGCTCGCCTCTGCACTGCACCCTGCATTGCTCCTCGAATACTAACTGCACTTACGAAATGTAAATCAAAATTTTATTGCATTTCTTGCACATTTTCTCTTAAATGGTTTTTTTTCTTTGGTCGTCTATTTATATTACAGACTTGCTTAAACGAAACTTTATCTTTGAGATAATGTTAATCAGAATATTTTTTGATTTACTGAATTTTCTGGTATTTTCTGCCATTTTATTAGTCATTTTGAGATTTGAAAAGGTTAAATTTGTATGTGGAGAGAAAGTGAAGGTTGTACTTTAATTGATTGGCAGTGGGTTCTATTTGTTTAAAACTCTGTGTGCTCACATGATTTGGTAATATTAAAATATTATTTGTTAACTATCTATTTAGTATAAATTGATTACCTTTTTAATTAAATTAAATTTATTGAATTAAAACTTTTCATTTAAAATCGACCATTTAAAATCGGAAGGATGAAGCTAACGCAAAGTTCTTTGAAAGTAGGGTGGAAAATTGATTTTAAGAAATTTGTTAAAGGAATAAATTTTACATAATGTCATTGTATAACCAACTAGAAGAGATCTACAATATTTTGAAATACAGTAATGTAAGTTGTTTTCCAGCAATGACGTCAGTCCTTACAATTTTGGCTACTGCAACAATTGCAGCAGCTAACGTCAACAGATTATTTTGTCGCAAATAGAAGACGAAAACTATTAAAAAATATAATTTTCCAGCTTTGATTGTGATTATTTTAAACTGCATTAGCCTTTTATCGAAAAGTATCGAGCAGAAAACTTCAAAACTGTTCGGAATATGACCTGAAAGTATATCCCCACTTCGAAGTATATTTGTGGAAAGAGGTCTATTCGGTGGATACGTATCAAGATAATATGCCGATAAACGATTCATGGGAACAAATTTCACCAGTTCCAATAAAAGTTAAATGTGTAGTTATAGCTTAAGCTGTTTGGAGGGCTTCGGTTCTGTGACCCCAAAAGATATGTGTTAACCCTGATATAAGCAGTATTACCAACACTGTCATAAACCCTGATATAAGCAGTAATACCAACACTGTCATAAAACGTGATTTTCTTATTTTAATAGGAGGGAGTAGAGTTCGAAACTCCAACGTGGGCTGTGAGTACATAAATTTTTTTGCATGTATAATTTAATTTTGTTTTTAAAAATGTTAAACTTAACTTACTAAAAATATAAATTTAGTGAAACGTGCAACTCCACATTAACTCCAAAAAACATAAATGCCACAACTTATTCTAAATAGCTTTAAGCATTGTCCACAGCCGCCACGATACCTCCTTATGAACCTAACCCACTGTACAGAAAGAATCAAGTTTTGAACACATGGATTTCTGAATTTTTCCTCCAGCAGAGTTTCACAAATGAAAACCCGTTGGCTACCAGTTGTATTCAAAAACAGTATAGGACAGT